AGAGCTATACAATCATATTACAAGGCAGAGCTATGCCACAATATTCCAATACAGGGCTATACAACCATATTTCTATACAGAGCTATACAATCATATTACAAGGCAGAGCTATGCCACAATATTCCAATACAGAGCTATACAACCATATTTCTATACAGAGCTATACAACCATATTCTATACAGAGCTATACAATCATATTACAAGGCAGAGCTATGCCACAATATTCCAATACAGGGCTATACAACCATATTTCTATACAGAGCTATACAATCATATTACAAGGCAGAGCTATGCCACAATATTCCAATACAGAGCTATGCCACAATATTCCAATACAGAGCTATACAACCATATTTCTATTCAGGGCTATACAACCATATTTCTATACAGAGCTATACAATCATATTTCTATACAGAGCTATACAACCATATTCCAATACAGAGCTATACAATAATATTTCTATACAGAGCTCTACAACCATATTTCTATACAGGGCTATACAACCATATTTCTATACAGAGCTACACAATCATATTTCTATACAGAGCTATACAACCATATTCCAATACAGAGCTATACAATAATATTTCTATACAGAGCTCTACAACCATATTTCTATACAGAGCTATACAACCATATTCTATAGAGAGCTATACAATCATATTACAAGGCAAAGCTATGCCACAATATTCCAATACAGAGCTATACAACCATATTTCTATACAGAGCTCTACAACCATATTTCTATACAGAGCTCTACAACCATATTCCAATACAGAGCTATACAATAATATTTCTATACAGAGCGCTACAACCATATTTCTATACAGAGCTATACAACCATATTTCTATACAGAGCTATACAATCATATTACAAGGCAAAGCTAGGCCACAATATTCCAATACAGAGCTATACAACCATATTTCTATACAGAGCTATAGAAAAATATTACAAGGCAGAGCTATGCCACAATATTCAAATACAGAGCTATACAACCACATTTCTATACAGAGGTCTACAACCATATTTCTATACAGAGCTATACAACCATATTTCTATACAGAGCTATACAACCATATTCCAATACAGAGCTATACAATAATATTTCTATACAGAGCTCTACAACCATATTTCTATACAGAGCTATACAACCATATTCTATAGAGAGCTATACAATCATATTACAAGGCAAAGCTATGCCACAATATTCCAATACAGAGCTATACAACCATATTTCTATACAGAGCTCTACAACCATATTTCTATACAGAGCTATACAACCATATTCCAATACAGAGCTATACAATAATATTTCTATACAGAGCTCTACAACCATATTTCTATACAGAGCTATACAACCATATTTCTATACAGAGCTATACAACCATATTCTATACAGAGCTATACAATCATATTACAAGGCAAAGCTAGGCCACAATATTCCAATACAGAGATATACAACCATATTTCTATACAGAGCTCTACAGCAAAATTTCAATACTAAGCTATACAACCATATTCCAATAAAGAGCTATACAACCATATTTCTATACAGAGCTATACAACCATATTCTATACAGAGCTATACAATCATATTACAAGGCAAAGCTAGGCCACAATATTCCAATACAGAGATATACAACCATATTTCTATACAGAGCTCTACAGTAAAATTTCAATACTAAGCTATACAACCATATTCCAATAAAGAGCTATACAACCATATTTCTATACAGAGCTATAGAAAAATATTACAAGGCAGAGCTATGCCACAATATTCCAATACAGAGCTATACAACCACATTTCTATACAGAGGTCTACAACCATATTTCTATACAGAGCTATACAACCATATTCTATACAGGGCTATACAACCATATTTCTATATTTCTATTCTACCACCCATAAACAGAATATAATGTTTATACACATGGGAATATACATCAGACTCAAATTTTATTCTAAAAATATCTATATTTAATACAACCTTTAGAAAATATTTGTACAAATTACCAATTACCATAGATGTGTAGTACGATCTATGCAAGATATTGTACATTGTATATATCAAAAAACAAGAAGGCTGCCACTCAACCATATTGAATTGAATTGCTCAGTTACTACATGTGAACATAAAGTACCAGACACAAGTAAAATTTTGTTTGAACAGGGACTAATAAGTGCTTCATTCCATTGCATTTTAAGAGTTTTTCACTTTACCTGTATATTTTTTCTCCTTATTTTATACTTCAATTATTTAAATTTATTTGATATTTGGATATTGATCAGATATTCATAATACAAATACTATGCTGTATTTTAATTGTAGTTGGATGGACTTGTGTCACATTCTCTGTTTAGGGAACTCATTATCAAACAAATTTGATGCATTATTATGCAAATTAGCTATGGTGCTTGATATCAAGTCTGGAAGAAGACTATGGATTCATATAAATTGAATTTTTCATTTACCCATCTAACTCGCATGTTATATTGAGAATGAAAGTTCAGTTATGACTGTAGATATGACTGAATACCATAAAATATTGTTGAATAGACTCATCCATATCATAATTTGACTGTTTGGAAATGCAAATTTAGAGTTCAGATTTTAAATGAAATCATATTTCTTGCAAAGGAATTGGATGACTCATTAAAATGGTGATTTTTTTTAATCCTAGGAGTGTTCTAGGAAAGTATTATTTGATCCCAAACATATAATTTCATTTGGAATTCAAACATCCCCATTATATATACTGTGGAATACTTTATTTTTGCTGGAATTAATTTTCGCTTAAAAGGCTTTTTGGGCGTTTTGTTTGGAATTTATTTTCACTGATTTTTCATGAGTTTAATGTGAAATATAGGAAAAAAAGTATATTCACTGGATTTTATTTTCACGGAATCATCCCTTCAGCGAAAATAGCGAAAATAAATTCCAAGCGAAAATAAAGTATTCTACAGTATATACCAGGGTAGTGGGACTTCAAATGTTTGAATGTACTGCAGTACTAAAGATGTTTCAAAGAAAACTGATAGGAAAGATAGAGGTTTTAATGATCAGTTTATTTTGGTGCTATGTTCTTCTATATATGGTATACAGACATACAATCATCAAATGACCTTACATGCAAATGGCTACTGAGATTTTTCTTGTTGGGTAGCTTGTGGCTCAACAAGATATCGTTGGATTTTTGCATCCAAGGTCTATTTCACACTAACAATTTTTGGTCCTTATCTTCACAGCAATATTGTACTTCTAGATATACTGATGGTCAGACTGATGAATGCAAAAATTTATTTATACTAAGCTTAGATTGCATGTATGTATGGCACAATGTTATGCGAGGAACATAATCCCCCCTCCACACACACACAAACACACTTACCTCAGAAAAACCTAAAGTGTTATGATCAAGCTGCCTTGTAGATCATTATCCAACATCGCAAATCATGAAAATTATTAAAGACTGGGTCATGCTCAACTGAAACCTCTAGAAATTCAATTGAACCATTAATCAGTCCAGCTCAGGGAATAGAAGTGACAAGACACTCAAAGTACAGTAACAGGTTAAACAGAACCACATTATGTCCTAATATTTCAAAACGAAGACCCACATCCCCATCCCTCCCCACAAAATGGGAAATAAATGCACCAGCAGGGAATAAGATGTTCTGCCAAAATAAAATATGGCCCCACCAGGAACTAACCTGGACGCGTCTAACTGATACCAACATCTCGGCAGTGAACTTGACACCCTCAGCAAAGTGAAAGACAAGTGACATTCGGAGCGTTACCAAGAGAAGCAGCAACATAAAAATAATCCTTGGTGTCAGATGATTTCCAGTGAGTAACCATGGCAAGATTATTGAGTAAACCATCACAGGTGTGCTAAAATACACTAGAGCATTATTTAAAGACCGCAAATAATTAGTGTGGAGTACTACTTGAACTTCTTTCCTGTATGAGAATAAAATACACATGTCAGACCAGAAAACGCATGTTAGAGGAGAAAAGAGCATTTTAACTCTTGAAGTGCCATAACTCTATAATTAAGTGCCATATATTGATGCTCAAAGGGTTTATGCATACAGCTATGGAGGAATGAAGTACATTTATATGAGGCACTATATGGTTGGTACTACTGGTGAGACAATATGCACCCTCACAGTCGAAATAGCTCCACTGTTTTTCAGTATCTTCCTCAAAACAATGAATTTGTCATAGTTATTATTACCACACTGTTAGCCATGGTAGTTTCTATAGTTGTTGCCATGGCAATAACAATTATTGTCATCTGTCATCTATTGTTCATGCATACCAAGTACAAAACAATCAAGCTAGTAGTTTTCAGGAAGAAAGTGATACCATTTTTCACCAGAAGTGAGTCTACAAATATATTTGCTAAAAATAAAGAATTGAAGATATCATCACAAAATGAACAAATCTGAGCTTGACTCAAGGTATCTGCATTCTAAGTATCAATGCGATTGAGCTGGTAGTTTTTATGAAATCAAAAACAGAATTTTTCACCAAAAAAAACAAACAAATATTCTACTAAAAACAACAAATATAATTTTTTAAAATAGAGAATTAAAAATAACATCACAAAATTAACTAATTTTACTGAGGCCTAATCAGCTAATCCCTCGTATAATCCCGGGAAAACTATCACTCGTTTTTACCCCTCCCGTTACCTTAAAAAAAGAGAGCTGAAGATGTCATGACAAAAAGAGCATATCTGACAGAGGTTCACCAATGGTACTAACAATACCAAGTATAAAAGCAAATAAGCTGGAAATTTTTTAAAAAGAGTTGCAAATAACATTTTTTATTAAAAAACAACAAAAATATTTGCTAAAAATAGAGAATTGAGGATATCATCATCACATGAACAACATCTCATATATCAAAGTAATTGGGCAGCTAGTTTTCAAGAAGAAGTTGAAAATAGAAATGTTGATGGACAATTACCTGATGACAGTGCAGAGCTAATAAACATGAACAGAACATCTCGACTATCAGGGTATATGGGATAGTCGACTTAAAAAGCAAACACATGTTTAGTCATGATACAATGTATATGCTGGTGTATTGTATATGCAGAAGTGATAGTGATAGACAAATGTGTTTGCAACAGGTATTGAAGTGATATATTATGAATGTACATTTTCTCCTACATACAGGTATCTGCAAATAACACCAGTTTAAACCTGAGCAGATATCAGGAGAGAGGTTTTGACCAGATCAGACTAAGGTTTTTCCCTCCCTATATACATGTTCAAGTTTCAAAAAAATAAATGCATAAATCAGTGATTGGTTACTTTCACCATATTTTAGTAAAATCAAACAATACATGCTTAAGATCTGATGTCAAAAGACTGATTTTATTTGTTTTTCACAACAAAAATGGTCAGTAGTTAGCAAAATCTATCAGGTGACAAAAATCATTTTGGGTGTGTGCGTGTGTTGTCAGTTATATAAACCATGAGTACAGACAGACGTACAGACAGACAGACAGACAGACAGACAGACAGACAGACAGACAGTAGAACCGCTATATACAAAAGAACACCATTGAATATAAACCAAAAAACAAACAAAAATATTTTCAAATAAAACATGCAATTATAATCAAGAACAATAAGCAATTTAAATTTTTATTTAAATAAACTAAAGGAAAATGTGAAGAAAATCAACAATCTGGTGGATGAGATTATGGCACACACTGATGATGATCTTCCTGCCACCTCATGCATAGCTATACTTAATTAATTTCACACAAATAACAATAATATCTACAAGAGAGGTAACAGACAAAGATATCAGACAATGAAACATTTTGCCATATTTCATTTCCAATTTTTAAAAAAAGATGCGACTTAAGATGTAATCTGAAGAAAATTGGTACTGAAACAAACATGACTGGTAGGTGTCTGAGAAAAATGCATGCTTTACTCACCCTCTTACTTTACGCACAAGTTCAGCAAATGGTTTTTCCCATGTGTACATTTTTATCACCCTCATGGCAGAAAGTATTTCATTCATTAGTCGTACTCTCTCATCTGTCTGGACAGCAGTTTTAGCTCTGCGAATGAAAGAGGTAAAATTGTGACTATGGAAACTTTTTTGTTGTAGGACACAAAATGGCCACTCGTGAGCCATATTTGATATTAGCATGAAAGACATTTGGATATACTAACCTGAGTCGAGAGAACAACTTTCCCATGTAGGCCTGACATGGAATCATTATCAACAACACACCAAATCCTGCAAAACACGATGGTCCAATGTTTTTCCATAATAACACCATTACAGCAATTGTTTGAAGAGGACCAACCCAGAGGTAGTGCAAAAATATCATTGCCTGTAATAAATTGACACAGCACTCAAATTTATTTAAAAAAAATACATCCAATTATAGGAAAGCACTCTTTGAAGGCGCACTTTACCGTAATTGCTCTATTGTATACTGAATCATTAAAATATTAGTTATTTTGACCATTGAAATACCTCTGTAATTTAGGTAAAGTGCATATGATGCTACAAATACGGTATTGTTAATATGACATTAACAAGTAACCCAACATTTGGAATAGCTCTGTTTTCTCATAGACCATCTAACAGAGGGTTAGAGGTTCTATGGTTTTCTTAAAAAAAC